CAAGAAAACAGACAGAAAGAGACACTTTAAAAAAAAGTACAGTCACGAGCTGTTCAGGAGGCACGGTCCCTGTCAGAGGCAAGAATAGGAACACTGTCCAAAAGGAAGCTGTAGAAGGGGCAGGGAGATAGCTCGGTTGTAAAGGGCTTGCTTACTGTGCAAGCACAAAGACCTGCATTTGACCCCAGATCCCAAGTCAGAAGCCAGATGTGGGGAGGGCGGACAGATCCTAAGAAACGCCACCTGAGCTTGACCTCCGGTCTGTACCTGCATCCGCACACACACGAGTGTCTTCCTGGACCCTTTCACCTGGTTCCTACATCTACACACCCAGGTCTTTGTGTTTGATCACGTTCAGTGTTTATTGAATTAGCTGAGTAGTTCCCCTCTATAAACATGACCAAATAAGGAGAGAGAAAGAGGGGTGTTGCAAGCAGGAACGGCCTCAACACCGGCATGGCGGCTTGTGGGCAAACAGGCACGAGGTGGTGGTGGAGCAGGAATGCCAGGGAGGTTGAGAGATGGCGAGTTTGAACAGTCCCCCCGAAGTCTGGGGGAATATGGGGCTCCATGGCAATTTTCTTTTCCCTGAAACGTTTTTTGCTTTAAAAATTTTAACTTTACATATGAGTGTTTTGCCTGCTTCTGTGTATGTGTGTGCACCACGTGTGGGCTTGCCGCTTGTGACGGTCAGAAGTGGGGTGTCAGATCCCCTAGAACTGGGGTCACAGGCAGTTGGGAACCATGTGAATGCTGGGAATCAAACCTGGGTTCTCTACAAGAGCAGCCAGGGCTCTTAACGGCTGAGCCACCTCTCCAGCTCCATCAACTGTCATTCTCATCAGGTTTGCAGTATCGAGAATTCTGAGAATACATACCCTCAAATACACATATTTGTGTGTATGTGATGGGTGTGGTGGGGATAGGGGAAGGTGCTGATGTGGCGGCCAGAGGTCAACGTCAGCTGTTCTTCTCAATGGCTCGCCTCCTGATTTCCTGAGTCGGGCTCTCTCTTTGAGCCCTAGCTGGCCAGGGAGGCCCCGAGATCCACCTGTCTTCACCTCCCTCTGAAATTACAGGCACCTGGCACTGCACCCGGCCTGTGGGGTGACCTGAGCTTGGCTTCTCATGCTGTGCAGCCCACATTTTACCCAGTGAACTATTGCCGTGACCTTCAATTGGCTATTCTCTAATAAAGCCTAAATTTAATCAACACTGGACCTTGGCAGGCTCAACCTCAGGTCAGCTCTCCTAACCTTGGTGGATATTGTCTGTGATGTTGGCTCTTATTCATATTGAAAATAAAGTACTGCTAATCTTCCCAAACATAATTATAATTACTCAATACACTCAATACTTATTCCTCTCTGTCCAATAGCATATCAAATTCTTTGCTTCTGGAACCTTCCCCCCACCCAAAGACAGACTTTACCAGTAATTTCAATGATTCTATTGATTACTTTAAGTTCTTATAATTCAAATTTCATTATTTTGTATTTACCCTTATGACTGCCTTCTATGGAAAGCCAATGCCCTGAACGTACAAATGAATTTGAAATTCATTTCCTAAAGCTGTCTTCACCATCATGGTGCTATTTGGACTCTTGTATTCTTTTCTTTTGTGTTATTTTCTTCTTTCATTTTTAAAATTAAAAAAGAGGGGCTGGAGAGATGGCTCAGTGGTTAAGAGCATTGCCTGCTCTTCCAAAGGTCCTGAGTTCAATTCCCAGCAACCATATGGTGGCTCACAACCATCTGTAATGAGATCTGGTGCCCTCTTCTGGCCTGCAGGTGTACACACAGACAGAATACTGAGACTACCGTATACATAATAAATAAAATAAATCTTTAAAAAATAAAATAAAATTAAATTAAATTAAAAAAGAATTACATAATTTTCCCCCTTCCCTTTCCATCCACCAGCCACTCCCATGTACCCTCACCTTGTGTCCTGTTGAAATCATGGCTTCTTTTTCTTTTGTCTTCCACCTTTATTCCCCCCACTCCTGCACTCCCTGGTCTCTTTTTCTTTAGTTGAGGTTGCTAGTGTGTGTGTGTGTGTGTGTGTGTGTGTGCACAACCTGCTCAGTCTGTCTAGTGTTATCTGTATGTATTTATATAGGTAATCATGGCTGACTATTTGGTATTGGATAACCAATTGGCAACCTCATCCCTGAGGAGGACTATTTCGCCCTCTCTCAGTAGTAAACATTTATTTTACTTTATACGTGGGTGTTTTGCCTCTGTGTATGTCTATATTCTACCTGTATGAAGCGCACACAGAGGTCCACAGAAGGTGTCAGAACACCTGAAACTGAAGTTGCAGGCCGTTGTGGGACTCTATGTGAGCGTTGGGACTTGAACCCAGGTCCTCGGCAGTGCAGCCAGAGCTGTTAATAGCTGAGCTGTCTCTCTAGTGCTCCTTTCTGATTTGTGGTTCTTGGTAAGTAATTTGTGCACTTGGGTTCTCGCCTTCTAGATGTTATGTTTGGTGTGTTTGTAAGCAAAGTTTCTTTTAGATCACTTCTTCTTCATGGTCAAGGGAACTTTTAAATTCCAATGACTTTCTGATCCCTTATATTCTCCGTGCAATAGTCTCATGCAGCACAAACTGGTCTAGAACTCAGCTATGGAGCTGAGGGTGGCCTTGAGCTTCTGACCTGTCTGCCTTCACTCCTGAGTGTTAGGACCACAAATCCGTGACACCACTTCTGCTTTTTTGTGTTTCTGGGGACCAAATCCAGGCCTTGGCACCTGCTAGACAAGAATTCTATCAATTGAACTTCATCCCTCACCCAGCTGCCGTGTAGCTCAGGGTGACCTGGACCTCGTTATGGAGCCCGGCCTATCTGCAAATTCACAGCCCTACCTCAGCCTCCAAGTTCTGGGATTGAGTGTGAACCAGCCTTCATGTCAGGCCACACTTCCTTTTATTCTTGTGTCTTAAAGTTAGATGTGGGCTCTATTGGTGTCTTCGTTTGGTGCTGACAAACAGGGGCTCCGGTAGAGACCGCTCACAGTCACGAGAAATCACAAGTTCTGATGCTCCGTTTGTCATCTGAAGACTTAGAAATAGTAACATGCCCACCGGGGCAAGAGTCAAGGCGGGGTGGAGTTAAGGCAGGGTAGGAGAAGATCTACCTACCCACAATATTTTCCAAAACTTGTCTGTGTTTCTTCTGCATTGGGTCTCTGGGACTTGCAAGTCTCGGAGTTGGCATCTGTGTTCTTTCTATTATACAGTGTAGCAGTGCCTTCCCTGTCCAGCTTTCTGAAGAGGAAAAACATTGTATATTAAACAGGTAAGTTCACCCAGTAATACCCTCCTCCGTATTCAGATTAGGGGAGCATGGCTCCCAGAGGTTCCACACATGACCAGTGCTTGCTTGTTTTCTCTATCTATCTATCTATCTATCTATCTATCTATCTATCTATCTATCTAT